ATTTGCATACTTATGTCATTGGGGTATGACATACATGTTTTTATGTCATAAGCTTATGTCATGGATAAATGCTTAAGTTAAATGATAAGAGGAATTAAGTATGCACCACAAATACAATATATAATATATTCTCACATATTGTATTCCCTGGAAAAATCAATCTCATTAAAATCAGATCTTAGTTCTTGCTACCACTAAACAAAGATCTGAGGACATCCCATTATGGGTCACGTCAGAACGACCTTTCGCGAACATTGACCAACCAATGAAATGACTGACAAGAAATCGCTTGCCAATCAGAAGGCAGCTATCTCGAGCTTTACGGCACAAGTGTCAAACTGGTGACTACGCTTCGAAACATATTTTGACATATTCTCGATTAAAAAATTTAAAACCGACCAAAACAACATTCTGGAATGACTTATAGATGGCCTAGATTGTATGGATATGATCATAAAACCCGTAACTGTCGTTCGGAATACCCTCTGTTAAATATTTCGAGGTTACATGATTACGCATTCTGATTGTGACTTTAAGGATCTGGTAAGCGACGCTCTGATTGGTTGGATGAAAGGTCGTGCTGACGTGACCCGTAATGGGATGTCCTCAGATCATTGGTTAGCGGTAGCAAAAACTAAGATCTGATTTTAATGACATTGTGGAAAAATCTACAATCTGGTCAAAATGGACCTGCTGTCTAATTGACTTTGACAGGCACTGGGTGTAAACAGGAAAGAGCTATGCAATGGGAGAACTAAGGGATGGGGTATTATATAACATTGACAAAGGTGGATACTTATTGAAACCATACCCTACACTTGTTGTATTTATTGTCAGAGATTGAGACAAAGAGAACAGACTAAGTTCAAATGTGCAACTAAACCTTTGTCGATAATTTCCAGGCACTTATCATGCTTATATACCCCTTCTACGTGTGTTTTTTGTGTGAAAAGATGTTTTATATACAAAAGAAAATATGGATTGTCGGGTAAATTTTTAGGCTTAGTACAGGCTGCTTTAGACTAACACTAGTCCCAGAAATAAAGTTCTCTCATTTAAACATTTATATCTACAAAATAAAAAATCTATTACAAATGGAGCTCAGAACAATTCTTAGTTTTAACCGAGAGCTGAGGCAATCAGGACTTGCCAAATCATTGTAGACTTGAGCATGTTGAGTTGGATTTCTTTTTTAATTAATCCTCTAGGGTCTGGGAGACAACTTGGGAAATTTATGAAGATTACTCACTGACTGACGTAGAATTTTTGTGAGGGGCTGCTTAATTAGGTGAATACGGTATTTGATTTTCCACCTACTTTCTGTGATTTCCACAGCATCATGTAGAGACTTCACTAGTGACCTTGTTCACCAGCTGTTAACTAGTTACCATGGCAGCCAGCCATTGTGTACATTCTGTATGGGTAGTAAGTAATACAGCACAGAACCAAATGCTTTTTTTGAATATTTGATCATTTTTGTGTTTTTCTTTCATGTGTATTCATTATGTTGTGAAGTTATCTTGTTAGAATTTAGAATTCTACATTTAAACAGGGCTCCAGATATTTTTTTTAGCAAATTATGCAAATACTCTGCTTATCTGGAGCTCTGCTTAAAACATTTGTCAGTAAACCCAACTGAAATGACATAAATATTTAATTAAAGCAGATTCCATATTTAATTATATCATATCCAAACGCCTCCACAGGAGATATAGCTTAGTGAAATCAAGCAACATCTGCTAGGATATATCACTACAGTGAATAGCATCACAATGGTCTGCGGACCATTGTGACATCATCGGTTACCATGACATATCACAATCAAATCACTCTTCCACTGAAGCTTGTTTACAGCTCTAATTTTTGCTTTCAAGGTACTGTTTACAAGCTGAAAAAGGAAGAATGATTTGGATGATAAATAGAATCTAACCCTCATGTCAATACTTGTTGATGAAAGCTTAAAACCCCTGTGCAAGCCTCGGAGTATTAAACTTGTGTTGCCTTGTGTTGATACTTGGGTGAGATTTTAAATCATGGAGTTTCCAAAGCTGTTCTGGGTACTTGCTAAAGACTACAACAGCTTTGTAGCAAGACTGTGCGCATGGAGGGATTCATAAGTGCAGAAAAGATGGGGCTTCACAAACTGTATCTTTACTTGTTGTGAACAATTATAAAATCTCGCTACCAGTATTTGATGAGACCATTTCTATTTTGTAGAAAGACAAATTTTGGGCAGATCTGTGTTTTTATAATATTTACCTAACCCTAACTACAATGTAACACCAACACCAACACCAACCACTATTTAAACCCCTTACCGTAACTCCAAACCTTCCCAAATGATTCTCCAACCATTCTGAGGCAACACTTTATTTTATTGCTTATCGAATTAACCAACAGCAATGAAACACCACAATCAAAAAGTACCATGTTCTTTAAGTTTATTTATTTTGCCTGCTGTCTCTATCTTTAATAGATCAGAAAAAGAAAAAAATACCCAGTATGCCTAAAAATATCAAACAAAAGTAACTGTTCTTTGGAATCCATAAACCAATATTTAATAAAGTGTCGCAGAACATTACTCCTAGAAATCCATTTAAGTTACATGGCCCTTTGGCTGTCCTTAGCTTAACTGGAACTTGTACTATTTAATTATGAGCGTAATTGAAGTATTTGCCCTGCATTTGCCTTGACCTTCATACATGTTTATCTAGTTTAAGTGTTTTTTTGGACACCATTGTGTTCATGAAGCTGAAGTTTTGTATATTGATCCCACAGTCGTGTCAGAAATCTGTTCAGGCGCTGTACCGAGGACTAAGATCTGATTCTTATATGATTGAGTGAGTGCTAATTTGTCCTTGTGCTGAAACCAAGTCATCACTTGATTTGTTAGTTATAAATATCAACGTTGTTGTTGTTGTTTGTTGTTTAACACTGCACTTAGCAATATTCCAGCTATATGATGTGGTCTGTAAATAATCCAGTCTAGACCAGACAATCCAGTGATTGACATCATGATCATCGATCCACGCAACTGGGATACGATGACATGCGTGAACCAAGTCAGCACCCTGACCACCCTATCCCGTAAGTGGTCTCTTATGACAAGCATAGTCGCCTTTTTCGGCAAGAATGGTTTGCCGAAGACCAATTTTTGCCTGGATCTTCATGGGGGCATATTAAACCCCATTTCGCCTCACGGCAGATCAAATCTAACGTAATAATACAGAAAAATTCAGGTGAGCTACAGAATCTCCAGGCTCTATTTCAAACGATTTATAAATCTAGAGATTTATGAATACAACAAACAAAGTTGTCAATTATAGAACTATTTCCTTCTAAAGTATTTGGTATTTAGAGGATAGTATATTAGAAACCCATGACCATGTTTTCCAGTATCTTCTTGTGAACTATTCTATAGATCTGATCTGATATGATATTCAAATAAATATACAGGTGAGCCAAAGATTCTTTGTCTCCCTTGTAAAGTATTGTATTATCTAGAGATTTTTGATGGGTACAATGTGTGAAGTCCATTTCTGGTGTCTCCCGCCTTGATATTGCTGGAATATTGCTCAAAGAGGCGTAAAATCAAACTCACTCCCTCACTAGAGGGTACGGCAAGCAAAAGTTGTGAAATATGAATTGCTTCTAGATATATTGTATTCAGAGGCAGAGCCAAGTGTGTCATCATACCATGTAATGAAGTCACTTAACGGAGGGCACAGTTGAGGTGTCTAGGGTGTCTGAAAAAGGGGGAATGTACCCCATGCGCGCCCACGCCCACCCCCCTCGGGATCTCCCAGGTGTATTTGTTGTGATGAGAACTGGATTCTCACCTATTATTGTAATTAGTTTTTATTTATCAGTGTTTCCTTGCCAAAATAGTATGTTTGAATAGCAACCATAGAATACCAACTGAATACAGGTTCATGAATATTTTATGTACATTCATTCAATAAAATCAAAGTGAATTGTAAAATATTGCTTAAATGTGTTTTTTAACATTGGATTGAAACAAAGGAACTGTGGACAACACTGCAATTAGCTCTGCAGAGTAGTGTCCCTTAACAATGTCAGGATCCACTGAATGTGGATTCTAATCCCACATTTGTCCAGATTTGGTGTGGTGTGATGTCGAGTATGGTAATTTCTTATCAGCTTATGAAATGAGGCCATGTATCACTCAAGGAAGTCAAATGAGCCCTACTCTGCACAGGAATATTTGTGCAAACCCTATTATTCTAATTATTATTCCCCAGGGAAGTAGTAGGCTAGGCCAGCTCTTCCCCAACCCTAGCCATACTTCCCCCCTTGAACGGTCCTGGGCCAAACCTTCCCCTGGGAATGTTTAGCCTGGTACACCGGGTGTCAAGCTCAGGAAAGAACCCATCTCAAGACCATGTCCATCTTCCTGAGGCAAGAGAGTTAACTGACTATAAAAGTCCAGTTTCCACCCAGTCCACTAGACTGGAATTCCTGGGCTCAATCGTAGCACCACCAGTGTATTTTACGCATTATGTCCCTCCTATGCCTCTCCTATGGACTAATCAGATTCCATCATTTGCATTTGTTTCAAACAAAATGGCAGCACCCACTCAAGACGATCTGATCGATAATCAAGATCTATATTGTGATAAAACAGCTCTTACATCGTGAAGTGCAAAAAATCACGCGAGTGCCTTGATTAAAAACATGATATGGATTGGAAAATATCTGTTGACAAGTTGGCGGTGCACATGCTCTGCAAATCCTGCAATCGACCGAAATCTGCATGACAGTGATTTCGTTGCGCGATTTTGATTGGACTATGCATAAACTCGTTAAACCAGCCAAAATGTAACTCCATAATACCAGCCTAGTTTGGCAAGGGTGGAAGCTGGACTTTTACAGTCAGTTCACTCCTTGCCTCAGGAGTGAGTGAGTGAGTTGGGTTTAACGCTGCTTTTAATGTTATTACAGTTATATCACGGCGTGTCAGCTTACTGTGGAAGGAAAGCCTGAATTGATGCATGTCTCTGTCTCAACCACTTCGGTGAAACCCACGAGCACGGGTATGGTGCTGACAAACCTAGAAACATAATTGGGGCAAAGAGGGATTTGAACCCACAATCATAGGTTTCTGGCGTGCCCAAGAGACGCAACTCTGCACAGCGAATTGCGGCACCTAAGAGGACTGGACCATGCAATGAATTTGCTTCACAATAACACCAAACTAAATTAATTGTAAATGTTCATTTATTCAATACATGAAAAATACTTGTTCTAGTTGTATAATATTGCTGTTACATACATCACATCATAAACAATAGAAGACTTCAAGTAACTAATGTGTTTTACACAGGTGTGGCTATGTACAAACATGTCTTGAATAATAAAGCTATATTTTACATACTGTCTAAATATATATGACTTTCCATTGCATTTTGAGTTACTGTTTACAAACATATCTTGCATTCTAATATTTCTGTGTTTTAAATACAACATTTTAACCCATGGTAACACTTTTAATCCAGTGGATAGTGTTCCAGCTGAAATTATTCAACTAACAAATATCAATAATTATTCAAAGATTGCATTTAACATGATTGTATAACCTGGAACAACATTCTTATAAAGGAAAGCTCCATCCTTATTGGTGGATTATTGTGGTATAGGTATGGCAGCTGACAAAGTGGGAGAATAATGATGGGGAAGGGAATGTGATATTTCACAAACATCGACTTTTGACAAAGGAAACATTCCCATGGATTATACATGGACCTTGTCCAATCAATACACAAAGAGTCTTTACAATACATATAAGTGTACACTACTTTCACGCTGCCATTGCCACATGCTGACATTTTTCACTAACTCATATACATGAAAAAATATTTTATCATTATTTTATTTATGCACTAAAAGCCAAGGTCACATTACATAGAATATCCTGTATGTTGGAATCACAGCCTGCTTTTGCATAGAAGATGTAAATTTATTTACTTTGGGGCTACATGTTCTAAACTGGTGCACAAACACACACGCACACACGCACGCATGCCCGCACGCACACAATGTGAATGATAAACAGGTTTTCATTGTCCTTGACTGCACAACTCAAAGCTCTGTGGTCCATATATCCACAATGTCCAATTTAACACATGCAAATAATTATCAATGTGCATTAATTAAGCATTTCTCAAACACATTCAGTCATATCACTTTGCAAAAATATCCGTTATATTAGTGCACAAACACATTCACATGTACTGTGCAGACACATTCACTCATAGGACTAAACACATTCACTCTGAGAACATTGTTATACTAATACAGTGAATTATAATGGGAAGTTTCACTGGCGCCCGAGCTGTGCTGAACAACTTGTTCAGTGAATGTACAATGGGAAGTTTGACTGGCGACCGAGCTGTGCTGAACAACTTGTTCAGTGAATGTACAATGGGAAGTTTGACTGGCGCCCGAGCTGTGCTGAACAACTTGTTCAGTGAATGTACAATGGGAAGTTTGATTGGCGCCCGAGCTGTGCTGAACAACTTGTTCAGTGAATGTACAATGGGAAGTTTGACTGGCGCCCGAGCTGTGCTGAACAACTTGTTCAGTGAATGTACAATGGGAAGTTTGACTGGCGCCTGAGCTGTGCAAAACAAGAACACCATAAATGTTCAAACACAAGTAAAACAGACTGATTATTCTCCGAAATAGATGTTCATCACTCCCCTCTTTAACCTACACAACCCCAAACACCCCAAAGAGAAGCATTACTATGGGCAAAATCAGGGGCAGATAATCCTCATACGCTGGTGTGTCCCCACTTTGCTTGTACACCTCCAGCTCTGCTTCGCAGTGACAGTGGATGGCGGCTACGTGGGGAGCTCGAGCTTCTGTTGGTGTTTGGGATCTCTGAGTAACTTCTGTAGATGAGGCCTCAGGAGTAGCAAAGAGGCACATGGAACCTTGTCCAGCAATATGCCTCCTTGTTGCAACATCACAGGTCTTCTCAGCAGCCTCAATGGTGATTGAGCTAACAGGAGTAGCAGTGTGGCACACAGAGCTTGGTCCAGCAACATCCTTCCTTGTTGCAATAGCTGAAGTCTTATCAGCAACTTTGGTAGAGATGGAACTCTCAGGAGTAGCAAAGTGGCACACAGAACTTGGTCCAGCAACATTCCTCTTTGTTGCAACATCATAGGTCTTCTCAGCAACTTTGGTAGAGATGGAACTCTCAGGAGTAGCAAAGTAGCTCACAGAACTTGGTCCAGCAACATTCTTCCTTGTTGCAATAGCTGAAGTCTTCTCAGCAACTTTGGTAGAGATGGAACTCTCAGGAGTAGCAAAGTAGCTCACAGAACTTCCTTCAGCAAAAGACTTCTTTGATGCATCAGACGTCGTCTCAGCAACCTCAGTCGAGATACACCTATCATCTTCACCTTGACTTTCTGTCTCTAACACCTGGTCCCGACACGCAGGAGAGTTCTTGCTAGCGGCTGTGTCGTGCGTGCCTTGGATGTGTCCACGAGTAGGATCTGAAATGTCTTTGGATCCTAGTGCTTTTGTTTGAACTCTGAACTTAGGACTTCTAGAAACGGATGCAATTTTTCGTTGGCTTCCTGTGTGCAGAACAACTGGTGCTCCGAGCAACTCATCGCTCGATCTGCCAGACAATTTCATATTTGATGGTGAAACTTGGCTAGACCCGATGATCCTATTGCTTCTTCTAGGTTTATTATCACGTAACACAGCTGTAGGTGGATCTTTGTCAATGGGTGTGTTAACTTTAAGTACAGATCCGGCCGATTCTTCCTCTGGTTCCTCATGAATGGAGTCCAGGTAGCCATGTGATGGCACAGTTAGCGTGGGGAACAGGGCCTCATTTATGTTCTCCTCCTGCAGCCGCTGGTTTACAGTCCAGAGAGTGGGGCGGACAGCGGGATCCTCAGCCATACACATATCAGAAAGTGACAACAAGCCTGAGATGTGGGAGACGCAATGTATCTTCTTCAGGACTCTTCCAAGACTGTATACGTCACATTCGGGGGTTGTCTTAGCATGAGCTCGTGTCTCTGGAGCGAGATGGAAACCATTCTTCATGTCTCCTCTGTATGTTACCCCTGATTTGTATGATGCTGTTCCCATGTCACAGAACTTGACCGAGGGCAGTTCTCCAGACATGTCCACTAGGATATTGTCTGACTTGATGTCATTAATGAGAACGTCTTTCTTGTGGATTTTTTTCAGTCCACTGGCTAGCTGGCACGCAATATTCAGCCAGTGTAATCTTGGTACATCTGACTCGCAAATAACATCACGGAGCGTTTGTCCAGAACCAACATACTCCATCACGATTTTGTAACCATCCTCCTCGTCACTCAATAGTCCATAACAGATGGGGACACAGCCTGTGGACTCAAGGTACATGGTGATCTTTGCCTCATTAGTGATGGACGCCTGTGTTGTCCTGTCTGTAAAGTGTTGTTTAACCACCACATCTCTACTCTGGCCAGGGGACACCGTTAGTGTTGCTGCATACACCTCCCCGAAAGACCCAGAGCCGATGACTATTTCAGTGAGGCCATCTGGCTCAACTTTGTAGTCGACCATGTGTGAAGGAAGGATTGGAATCTTGATGTGCCAGAACTCTGAAGACATGCTGAAGGAAGGTCCACACACCCTCTTGAAGACGTACTCAGAAGGAAAGGGTTCATGGCTGGCTAGCTTGTCCTCATCGTGGTCAAGGGTGGACAGAGAGCTGATGTCATGATCCTTGTTGAAGGCTTGTCCGAGAGAGGCATGCGGTGGAGACAGGATGCTTAAGGTAGGGATGTCCAGGATGTCATCCTCGTGGCTGAAGTCATTGTGCAGTAAGGAATGTGAAGACTCAGCCCTGAAACATCAAATTCAACATCAAATAAAAGCCACAAACCCTTTCCATAATCATAAATATAAAACATCAATGCCAGAGAGTAATCAGTCTCGATTATTTGTCGAAACAGATTCCATTGGGCACAAAGGGCAAAATAGTGATGAAAATTATATAAATGGACCACAGATTCAGTGATGACACCAAGTATTCGCGAAAAGGGTAAACATTCTCTGCACTCGCCACATGGTTGGTTGATGTTTAACGCCGCACTCAGCAATATTCCAGCTATATGACGGCGGTGTGTAAATAATCGAGTCTGGACCAGACAATCCAGTGATTCATATCATGCGCATCGATCCACGCAATAGGAATCGATGACATGCATCAACCAAGTCAGCGACCCGACCACCCGATCCTGTTCTGTGTTATTAGCGTGTGTTTATGAACCACTATCTAATAGTGATGACACTAGGTGTTCGCGAAAAGCAATGGCTTCTAACTTGACCACATATTATTAACACATATCAAGTGTGTGACAGGAACTATTCATGTGAACCTCGATCTAACTTAAACTACTCACCTCTCAGGAGGACCGTTTTCTGTCAAACAAAGGTCACTCGTGAAGTCATAATAACTAAGAACATGTTTCTGAAAACCTTCCGATGAACTGCTTTCCCTGAAAAAAAAACAATGTTGCAACATTTAATAGATATATATCTTGAGGGAATGGGGTCTTTTGGACAGGCAGACTTTCTGCTTCGGTTCTGATGAAAGTGTTCATTTTGTTTAAAGGTTCGATTGGGACATTGTTTAACCACAAAGGAAAATAACTTCAACACGGCCAAGAAACTAGAATATACTAACGGATAAATGAATACATTGTAAGAGTAAGATTACCTTTTTGCCCTGTGACTCCCTCTATAGCAAAGGTCATCGACCTGGGTATTTTCGTAACTTGGCTCAGGTGTGTCTCCTTCGAGATACCCGTAAGACCCCGAAATGTCCGTCACTGCACTGTGAAACGGTTCCTGCAATCCAGCAAGGCAGGGTCTGGGGTGGCTTCTTCCAGCCGGATCCGACAGCAGACTGGACCATGCACACCCACCTCTCTGGTAGCCGCCATCGAGTAGCGGCGCGCACAAGAGCCGGAGCAGATCTTTCTTCACAGACTCGGGAACCTCCGAGACAGACTTGAATAGAGATACTTCTTGGAACAGTTCGCTGAAACATGGCGGGCCGCACTGGTGATCTGTTTGAACAGAAACATCAGATGTCGCCTGGTCTTCCCGGTTCCCAGCTTCAAACACATCGATGTCCTCATGTAAAGACAGCTTTCCATAACCATGGGATGTTTGACGTCTTGGTGAAAAAACTTCAGCAGCTGCCCTCCTGTCTTGGTTGGGTCCTGATATACTTTGAACCGCAGCTGTTGCTTTAGTCTCTATGCCGACACACAGTCTATGGTGTTGGACTGGGAGCCGTGTTTCCCTTTCACTGCGTGTTCTGTGGGCTTCAGGGTGGCGTCTGTTCAGATAGCTATACCGTGGCGTCTGTCTTGTGGCTCCCAGAGTTTGGGGCAACACTTGGTAGGACTTGGATCCAGCGAGGGTCGCGGCAGTTTCGACATCACGATCAGCTTCCTTGGACTTACCGTTATTGTTTCTGTTCAGGAAAGCTGTCACGTTAAACTGGACACCCCTCGTGACAATGAACACATACTGTGACACTTCATAAGATCTGCCTCTGTTTCTCGTGATGACGGATTCGTCTGTTGGTTTCCTGTATATTTTACCTGATGCATCAACTTGACTTTCAGCAGTTGGGTTCCAAGACTTGACGACCCATACCATTTTGACTTAATAAAAACCGCACTTTTCTTCACACGATGTGAGCGAACATGTTGGAGACAGAAGGACTACACCAACAATGACGTGACGTCACAGACTTATCCAGCATGTCTCGGACGTCTCGAGAAGTGATAAATGATAACCGATATTTGCATTATAATAGTAAAACACAAAGTATGTGTGCGAGTTCTCCTCTTCCTAACAACCGTTCTGTCCCGGTTAGTTTTATGGTCCGATGACGTTATTTCACACAATTTTATAGTAGACTTTGATAGTCAGAATTCCGTGACGTCATAATCATGTCTGACGTCATTGCTATATCGCGTTCGCTGGTTTTCGCGGTCTCTCGGATATGCACGGAAATAGACTTTTGTCCCGCATTCGTGACCAACTCGTGTTATTCCGGGACAAGCCGAATAGCGGGTTACGGAAAAAAGCGAATGGTGACGAATAGTTTGTCCTGGGCCCCGTTCCACAAAGCGATCATAGCGCTAAGATGATCTTAACTCTCATATTTTAACATAGACTTACGACAGTCGTAGCGCTAAGATCGCTTTGTGGAACGGGGCCCTGGTCTATAATCGGGCTAGCGCCGGAAACCAGCGAATATATCGCTTCCCACAAGTATGAAAATTCCATATTTCCCGGGCGTTTATTTATTTCGCGCGTCGTTGACCCCGCGTCTATTCTGATTAATGCTGGCAGAGTGGCAACTCACTACCTTACCGAATCCCAAAATCTACAGTCATACAAAGGCTACATTTGCAGACCCAGTGTCACATAAATGCCCGTCTTCTTCTTTTTGTGACAACTATAAGCCGGCGTTTATTGGTGGCCGGGTCTAGTAGAGGAAATACGGTATTAAATCTATTTTTAGCCGAAGGTTCCGCTCCTCAAAGCCATCTCCGCGCTCCGACTATCGTATTTTATTGTTAAAGAGTGGATTTATATCGTTTAGTACAATTGACATCTGAATCATATTCAAAAGACAAAAGATCAGAACATTAACATATTGATTGTGGACAGATATGATACTTGACATTGAAATTGTCTGGGTAGCTTGTATTATATACATAGCGTTCGCTCCTACCACCGCCGAAGGCCCGAGTTCGATCCCCACATGGATAAAGTCCTTTTCAGGTGTCCCCTGTTGTGATATTGCTTAAACCGTCGTAAAACCACACTCACTGACTCAACCACTCTTATCATCAAGGCACAGCAACGCCTCGTAGCTCCGTTTATTGTAGAATTGAATCTCATGTTCACCTTGCACTATCCATTTCAAAATCAGAAAGACAAGAAGCCATCAACATCAAGACTCCAACCGTCAATCATCCGTGACCAAGGCTACTACATACCTCCGGCGTACCATCAACTTACCAAAGACACCAATCAGTTATAATCCAGTTGTTTATATCACTGGCTTCATTCTTTGTTTATGTCACTGACTTCACCGATGATTGTCGTTACTAGCCTTGAGTGTACATAACAGGCTTCTCCACTCCAGTATAACTACATCTGATATCCACTCTACTGTATAAACATTGCCTCCGACCTGTGTATCCACGTGTGTCGGAGGCGCCGGTATCCATACATATATATAGAGCATTGTGCCGTGCCGTGAAATTTGGATATTTCCGCAAACATTCTTGTTTTATTTCAGAATCATAACTTTTCTGTATGCAAGCATAAAAAATGACATATTGTGTCATTTATGTTTACAACTGTCATACAAATGTAAACATGCGAAGCATAAAAGACGGCAGTGTTAATGTACAGCTTGCCGTCAAACTCATGGCAATTATTATCGAAGTGAGTGAGTGAGTGAGTGAGTGAGTGAGATAGTGAGATAGTGAGTGAGTGAGTGGGTAACGGAGGCAACGACTGACTGAAAGCATGAACACTGGTCCACGCAATCAACCATGTCGCCGAGCCTGACCACCCAATCCCCAATTTCCACGTCGGTCGGGAAGATCTCAGATTGCACAAGTCTAAAAACAAGTTATCCCTATACAAGAGACTGGCGTCCTTAGATGTCAGTAGTATAGTCTAAGTGAGCAGAAACCTTTTTTGGTTGATCCGGTTGATCCAGTCGGATTCGAAGTTGATTGGCTGATCCAAGTCACGTGATCAGATAGGATGACTCATGCATCAACAGCGCGTCGCGAAAGGGCGGGTAATGAAAGGTGTGTGTTTATAATTTATAAGAAAACAAAAGTAAAGGGTTATGAATAGAGCTATGTGTATAGCGTGCTGCCCTAAATAGACAGACCGTAACCGTCAGCCCAGTTTGAATTGAGCGCGCTTGACAACTCACGTGACCTCGTCGTTTCAAATTGTTTATTGGTAATAATGGTTTCGTTTATTTCAGGCGTTAGTAGAAATTACAATTAGTGTTCAACTCACGTGGTCGTTTCAAATTGACCGCGCTCGCTGGTTTGATGAATGCAGGGTGTGTGTTGAAAGTACAAGTACCACCATAGAGACGGGTTGTGTCAACATGATATACGCCGGGTAATGTAGGAATAAAAAATGTACGTCTAGCTGGATCAAATTCATCTTGTACGGTCTACAAGTTGTACACCATGAACGTTAGACAACCTGTATAGAAAAAAATATACACAAAATAGATTAGACTACACAATCAGCAAGCTAGCAGTGTAGTTTACATTTAGCGCGCAAGAACGAGCTAATGTATAGCAGAGAGACTAAGCGACCGACCGCCCATAACAATGTCAACATACCCCGGCCTTACAATTAATGTCAACATAACAGCCTGGCCTGAAGCTTCCCATTCATAAATTGTGTGACCAGTGTCCCGTATTTATTATATGTTAGGGAACATGTGTTGTACATTTGTTATTTTAAAAGGGAGTTATTTCAGAGAGTATATATATGGGTATTCCCCTCATTAAACCTTTCTTTCGTTGGTGTCTATTAAACGTATCCGGTATTTAATACATTTGAATGATGTAGGAAAGTATGTGCGTGTAGATGTTGTACCTATATCCGAACACGAATGTATGACACCTTTCAATAGATCAATTACGGTTCTAACCACCACGCGCAACATGACTATGAGCGTGGTTAGCAGTTCATATTTATAAACACATCGTAAATGACAGATTTCTGATGAATGAACTCGCCCGCACACATGTCTATAGGGTTATGTTCGCCCGAACTGTAAACAGTGACACATTGATAACAGGAAGGGTGTGTGGAATGCACTCGTCCTTATAAGGGTAAAATACGCGTTAAACTCACCATTTAAATGATGACATTACTTTTTAGATGTATTGGTATCAGTGAGTGAGTAAATTTAGTTTTACGCCACACTCGGCATTATTCCAGCTCTAGGGCGGTGGTCTGTCAATAAACGAGCTTGGACCAGACAATCCAGTGATCAACAGCATGAGCAGCGATCTGTGCAACTAGGAACCGATTGCACGTGTCATCCGAGTCGGCGAGACTGACCAATGGATCCCCGTCAGTCGCCGATAAGCATGGGTTACTGAAGGTCGATTCTATAACCCGGGACCATTCGTATATCACGGCTTTGTATGGAACCGATTGACTCGAATCAATAAATGATACGAATGAATTGTTTGTTTTTTTCTAAGTTTTTTTGCATATTAGTATATAGTCTTCGTCATACTACACCCGTGAAGGTGAAAAAAAATCTTTCGTCATATAAACTTCTAAGTACTTGTAAACAATTCCAAACTAAACATACGTATCATTTCACATCTTATAAAACATTTAATCACTTTCTACAAAACCATCCAATCACCTCGTTGTCAGTGCCACATTTGACCCCTATAATTTACATAACTTGTGAGGTCACGCATGTGTTGCGCTTCCGGCAAGGATTTTGCACCCCGAAAACAGGTAGGCTTCGAAATCTACTTGTACGAAATGACACCGTTTCGTTTTGACACTAAACTAATTGTAATGTTTGATGCAACTGTGTAAGGTTAGACTGCCACTTTTGGAATTGCCTCACAATAGGTACATCTTGAAGGCATGGATGTTTGTTGACTTGTATGGAGAAGTCACGTGACACGTGCAATGCAAAGCAACAAGAAAACGTTTATTAAATCTCGATGGTTATGATTGTCTTGTCACCAGCAGTCTGGATGTGTGGTGATTGTTCGACTCTGAAATACGTATTTGATTGCCCTTGATTTGAACAAGTCAACCGCATCGCAGAACTTGCATGGTTGTGTTCCTGAAAAACGATTTCGCCAATACTGGAGCCAACCAAAGAGAGGATGCAGCATTTTTTAAAAGTGAGGGGTTCCATAAATGGCCAGTGATATTTCTAATGACAACTAGACAAAGATAATTAACATTATAAATTGTTCTTCCACATTGGCCTGGGGAATTCTTTGCAACCTCAAACGAAAAAATACGCCACTGGGGTTAAACAGGTTCCCTGTGTTTGAGGCGCTGAGCAATTTCAATGTTTGGGATGGTGCCCAGACTGCCTAGCTCATTCGTCACCACTCGCCCCTTTCCGTAACCTGCAAGAAGACTCGTCCCCCTATTGATGAATGTTATGTGCGAAAATACGACAAACCAATCAGAATGCGCGTATGATTTCGAGTTCTTTGTCAAATAATCCCTCAGAAATAATTTTTGATTTTACATATGTCTTGCATCTAAAAATATACCCAAGACACAGTTAAATGTGTTCAATCATACTGTATAATTCCGCACGTCCACATGTCCTTTAAATTGCATCTGAAATATATGTAATATATGGGGAAATATATGTGAACCATTACGCAACGAGTTGACAATTGTTTTAGGTATGCCCGTTTGCGCTAAGACGGAACCTAGTCGCAAAAAAGGCCACGAGAGGGGCACGAGTCGCTATTCGGCTTGTCCCGGAATAACACGAGTTGGTCACGAATGTGCCTAGCTGTTTCCGCCTCGGATTTTTTTAATCCATTATTGGCCTTTTTCTTTCAACTCATTTGTTCGATGACCATGCTCACAATTTGTCAACTTGTCTTATTATATGACCCCATTAGGCCGGGCTCCGCTAACCTGCGTTATAGTGGAATTAAGAAGAGATGATTTTTGGATGAAATGGTCGCGGATGTGGAGGTCCTGGTGGACTGCAGAAAAAGAGCTTAACTCCTGGTAACGATTTCAATACAGCAACCACAGCCCAGCAACAACCGTTGCCAAGCAACCCATGTTGCTTACCAATGCAGAGACCTCAGCTCTGCAACTTCCGTTGCCTAGCGCTGCCAGGCAAATACTATTGCCAAATAAAGTGGTCAACCCTGTCCTTTATAATGTGCAATTTGGGATGTATCCCAAGATGCCAGTGTAACTTGAAATGCAGTCCACCAGCACCCCGCCACCAGCACTAAGGTGCTCCCCCACAACCACGACCATTTGCGCTCATGTTCACCCACCGTGTTATCCTGTAGGGAAACTGTTACCTTATAAGCATATTGCGGACAAGGAGCGAATGTTTGGAATGTCTGGCTGGTGACAAATGAGCCCTGTCATGCATGTACAGTTGCTGGTCTAGTCGGTTCAAGGCAGTGTGGGAAACCTGTATCCCCCAAGCTCGCGGGCCCTGTTCCCCACCCGTCTGTTCAGCTTCTGCCTGGCGCCAATCTTATTATCCCCCGCCCCAACGAAGTTGGCGGGGGATATAGAAATGGGTTCCGTCTGTGTGTGTGTGTGTGTGTGTGTGTGTGTGTGTGTGTGTGTGTGTGTGTGTGTGCGTGTGCATCCCGAAATCGTTTCCGGAGCATAACTCAGAAACCGTTAAATATTTCTCTACGAAACTTTGCATGTCTATCAGAGTCATGCTGAACTGGTTCCTCTTGCTATTTAGGAATTTTATAAATTTTTATTTTTTACGTTTCTATGGCAACAAGTTGGACTTAGGTTCTATAAGGGTGCTGTTCGTTTCCGGAGCGTAACTCAAAAACCGTTAAATAATTTCTTACAAAACTTTGCATGTTTACCAGACACATACTGAACTGGTGCCTTTTGCTATTTGGGAATTTTACAAATTTTTGTTTTTTACGTTTCCATTGCAACAAGTTGGACTTAGGTTCAATAGGGTAGAGTTTGTTTCCGGAGCATAACTCAAAACCCATTCAATACTTTCCAACAAAAACTTTGCATGTTTACCAGACACATACTGGACTGGTGTCTCTTGCTATTTAGGAATTTTAGAAATTTTTATTTTTCACGTTTCCATGGCAATAAGTTGAACTTAGGTTCTACAGGGGTGGTGTAGTTTCCAGAGCGCAACTCAAAAACCGTTAAATACTTTCTTACAAAACTTTGCATGTCTACCAGGCACATACTGAACTGGTGCCTTTTGATATATAGCACTTTTAGAAATTTTTATTGTTTATGTTTCCATGACAACAAGTTGGATTTAAGTTTTAATATAGGATTGGTTTACTTAAGGAGTAGATCAAATAAACTGTTAAATATTTAGTCGGCTAATGGGTGCAAATTGCCATGGCTGCAGAGATAAACTTAACAATGAACAATGAATCCTTTAAAGAAACCAAACGGGGAAAGTCTATTTTACAAAAGTAAGCCAGATAACAATAGGAATATATAAAACATGACTTGTTTGTAACATTCGTCAAAATGTCTGTCCACTACCCCTCCAAGTATGTAGTAATCACCTCATAAATCCTGAAAGAGATTTGTCTGTTTAAGCAGAATAAACAGAAAATCACTCAGAATGAAATCATCACATGCGAAGTGGAAGTAGGCGTGAAGATCAGCAGATCAACAATATCAGACATTTTGAAGGAATCATCTAAATGGACAGCAGTTTCCTGTGGTGTACAGATGTAAGAAACATCATGTTAAATGACAAACTTCTAAAAACTAAAGCAAAGGTGCTAGGTGACACATTAGGCGTTGAAGAGATATGCAATGGTTGGCTCAGTCATTTCAGGCAGACACATGGTCCATATAGTTCATGGTGAATGATCATCCAGTGAAATGGCCCATATAGTTCATGGTGAATGATCATCCAGTGAAATGGCCCATATAGTTCATGGTGAATGATCATCCAGTGAAATGGTCCATATAGTTCATGGTGAATGATCATCCAGTGAAATGGCCCATATAGTTCATGGTGAATGATCATCCAGTGAAATGGCCCATATAGTTCATGGTGAATGATCATCCAGTGAAATGGTCCATATAGTTCATGGTGAATGATCATCCAGTGAAATGGCCCATATAGTTCATGGTGAATGATCATCCAGTGAAATGGTCCATATAGTTCATGGTGCATGATCATCCGTTTCACTAGAAATGGTTAAAGAAGGTCGAAAATCCTTCCATGAAGTGTTGCGCTACTACAATCTGTGTGATATTTTCAGCTGCAATGAAACAGGTTTATTCTACAGACTTGGCAACATTAAACACTCAGCACGGTCCCTGTTTCTGGCAAAAAGCAGGGGGCAGGGGTCGCCCAATCGTCTAAGGCGCCGCAAATTGAGTTGTGTCCCTTGGGCCCCGATTATGTTTCTACATAATGTTCAATGCTTTTTTATTTACTCACCAACTTCTGGAATGCTAGTCAAAGACTGTCTAATATTAAGTGTCACTTTCTGCCACCCAACACTGCATTGCACATTCAGCCATTAGATATATATGAATATATGATATATTGCCGTGATATTGCTGGAATATTGCTAAAAGCGGCGTAAAACCATACTCACTCACTCACTATCATCAAAAACTTCAAACTATATTACAAAAACAACCAATGAAGCTGCACCTAGACAATGTTGATGCAGAAGTAGCACAGGTCCGAGACGTAAAGCCAGCATTGCTATTTGTCGGCACTGCTTAGAGAGAAGTGAAGCAAGACAACATCAACCGTTGACGCCACAGCCTGTTCTTCCTGATGCACCACTGACAGCTGAACCTGTCATCACCGACCTCGCAGCCTAACCAAGACAACCTTTAACCTTCAACATCATTCATGGTAGACCCGTGAAGATCCGGGGTAGAAGACCCGTGAAGATCCGGGGTAGAATAGACCCGTGAAGATCCGGGGTAGAATGATCCGGGGTAGAATAGACCCGTGAAGATCCGGGGTAGAATAGATCTTCAGCAACCCATGCTTGCCTCCCCGTGAAGATCCGGGGTAGAATAGGTCTTCAGCAACCCATGCTTGCCTCCCCGTGAAGATCCGGGGTAGAATAGGTCTTCAGCAACCCATGCTTGCCTCCCCGTGAAGATCCGGGGTAGAATAGGTCTTCAGCAACCCATGCTTGTCTCCTCGTGAAGATCCGGGGTAGAATAGGTCTTCAGCAACCCATGCTTGTCTCCCCGTGAAGATCCGGGGTAGAATAGGTCTTCAGCAACCCATGCTTGCCGTAAAGGCGACTATGCTTATCGTAGGAGGCGACTAATGGGATCGGGTGGTCAGGCTCGCCGACTTGGTTGATGCATGTCATCGGTCCCAATTGCGTGGATCGATGCTCATGAGATTAATCACTGGATTGTCTGGTCCAGACTCGATTATTTACAGACTGTCGTCATATATCTGGAATATTGCTGAGTGCGGCATTAAACAACAAACAAACAAAAACATCATTCGTGGTCAGGCAGATGACAACACTGAAGATGAACTTGACAACAATGGAGAGCCCTTACCCCAAAACCAGCAACCATCAAGTCAAATCTAGCTCAAACTGCATTTTTTGTTGAAAACAACTTGGATGTGTTAAATATTACAGACTTGGACTTTATTGCCAAGATTCAGTCATCTTTGAGAAAAGTGTCTTCAAGAAGGGAGAAACAAAAATTATTGAAAGACTATGTCAAGACACATAATAAATCATCCAGACAATAGGACATAAAAATACATGTTGTTGAGGTGATAAATGCCTCTTTATTTTCATTTGCATTATAAATTAAGTAATGAAGGAATAAACAACATGATATGAATATTTTGTTTTTAATGATTTTATGACAAGGTACATGTATCTTTATCTGTCATTAATACTTAATTTAGTTTATCAGACATACTTGTAAATCCAACATAATCATATGCAACCAACCATGTCAGGTTTTAGGGTCTGTACCCCCGGTATAATAAAATATGTTATTTTAATATTTCTGTTACAGATAATTTGAAAGAAAATAAGTCATACTACCAACCCTATATTCTTACTAAAATACAAAAAATAATTGAAGCCTCAAATTATTATTTTTATTTCAGCCATTGAATGACCAAAGGTTTGGAGAAATATATTCTGTAAACCAAGTACAAGTAAACAAAGTGAAGCTTATCTAACAATAGACTTTTTCTTCCAGATTAAGGAAAGGGAAAGTCTGCAAATGGAGAAACAGCATTCCGTACAGTTCTTTGAATCCTTTGTGAAAGACATTCACAAGGAATGCCAGAACTTTGTGGGTTTCGACCAGATGGTGGAGGTGAGTGGCTATATGTGTCTGGAGATTGACAATGTGAAGAAGGAGAGGTATGTGTTGAGTGAGCTGATCCAGAACTCGGGGAGTGTCATCAGCGAGAGTTACTGCACCAAGGTGTTCCGGAACTGCCCGACACAAAGGCCACCAGGGCAAAGGGGAAACGTGAAGAGAAACATGGCACCCCCGAACCCAGCTTTCAGCAGGAGCAACCAGAACAGGCCTGGACAGGCTGGTCAAATACGACAACAAAATATGTTACAACAAAATACTCGCATGCCTGTGAGCAGAGCAGGTCAAAATCAACAGATGCGGCAAACTTCTCAAGTTAGCAAGCCTGGACCCAATGTTCCACGCAATGCTCAGATTATCCAAACACTGCAAGGATCTCCTATGGACCAAATTCCACAAGGAAGTCCAGTTTCAAGGAAGGGGCCATCATCTGTACTGGGTAGACAACGACATAATTCTGTCAACACTCCTTTAATGAACAGGCAAAATAACAGCCAAGTGATGATTGCAAAAAATCCTAATAAGCCTACCTTTAATCAAAGGTTAAACCAGGCTGCGAACTCTCCATTTGGTGATGCTCAGAAGACAACGGTCATTGGTCAAGGTGTGAACCAGCAAGGTCAAGGTCAGTGTGTAAAACAGCAAGGTCAATGTACAAGGCAGTTAAGTCTAGGTGTGAACCAGCAAGGTCAAGGTCAAGGTGTGAACCAGCAAGGTCAAGGTCAATGTACAAGGCAGTTAAGTCAAGGTGTGAACCGTCAAGGTCAAAGTGTGAGCCAGCTAGGTCAGGGTGAGCGTTGCCAGGGGCAAGAAAGGGTGAGTCAAACCTATGTGCAGGATCCTAATCTGGCAAATCTGTATGGTCAGAATGTGTTTCCACAGGCAGTTCCTCAAGTCGTTCAGGATAGGGTTAAGACATTGGGAACGGCTCCTGCTATCATTAAGCAAGAGGAAGGTCAAACTTGCAAGGAGGTTACTCAAACAGCTCCTGTTAACTGTGATCAGCAAAACATCCAGGACATCAAGCTAACCATTCACAGTTCTACTTTCACTGGTCAAGATGGGGTTGGTCAAGCAAAAGGTTATAATACTGACCGAACACCCAACTCATCTTGTCGCAGTTTCCAAAGGAAAGGTAGTCAAATAAATGTCCAAGAAACTTGTGAGGCAGCTCAAATCTCAACTATGTCTAGCCAAGTAGCTTCAAGGAGCAGCAGCATTAACGTGAGAAATTCTGCAGAAAGTAGAAGATTGACAGTTATCCAAGACCAGGAACCTCGGCCCTTCACGGCCCCAATTCCTAAACAAGTTTTCCCTGAGCAAAGAGGAACCTCCTTCCAAGGCGTTTCTAAACATGCAAATGTGGTTCAAACTCTAGAGAAGGCTACACGTCTATCAAACTGGCAAATTGTTGAAGTAGAGCCTGAAGTATCTGTGGTGTCTATGACACCAGCTTTCTCGGCCGCAACTTTGTCCACAAAGCCGTTATCCCATCCAGGCTGCAAGGACCAAGGCTTTGTCAGTAGCCATCCTTTGCAACAGGATCCATCTGTGATGAATCAAAGCAATCCGTTAATAGATCAAGGATCTGCATCTCAAACACTACAAATAGATGTCACAACGTCATTAAGCCCAGTTCAAAGACCAAACATGTCTCAGACCCCAAATGTGAATCCTGCACAAATGGTGAATCCTGAATCAGCACCACCAGTGTTGCATGTTCAAAACATGAACCTTGCACAGTCGTATCAAAAACAAAGACAGCTTGAATCTTTGGCACAAAGCATCAATGCATCATTGATTGAGGAGTCTGGGCCTTCAGTGTCTCATTTGCATATCGTAAATTTACAGTCACGTAATGAAGAACCAAGGTCAGAACGTGTTCCACAGTCCTCAAATTATCAATCAGCACTACCTACATGCCCCACAAAACAGGTGGATCTGAGAGCACCTGCACTGAAGCCTTCAATGTCTGGGACAAGTCCCATAAATCTTGCGCAGTCATCGAATCAAAACCTTAGACAACCTACACTGAATCGAGAAATGAGACCAGCTATGTCTGGTCAAAACCTCACGTATCTCACACTGCCGTCAAATATAAAACCGAGAGCACCCATACCTATCCACTCCAACCTCCTGCCTCCTGTGCTCCATAAAATGCCTGGTGATAGAAGGATGCTGGACAACTCCCCATCACCACAAAGTCCAGGTGATTTATCAGGTCCATCATCATCAGATTCTTTCGAGATCACTGCCAGGAGACCTGTGTTTTTGGAATCTTCTGTAGTGCGATCATCGCTGGCCTCATCAGTCCACAGTGAACCTGATAGGCTGCACAGAAAAAAGACGTCATCCATGAGTCAACTGCCTGATGAAGTGTGTACCGAGCCTCCAACACCAGAGTGGAAGACTTGCATAAGTCCTCACATGGATCCCAATCCAGAAGCCCCAGCTGTCCCGACTAAGAAGGCAAAACTGAGCTCAGAACCAGCTCCAGAGGAGACTTCAACTTTGATGTCCAAGTCAACCAAACCAGTTGGAAAGAAAGGAAGAGAGTCAGCTGCCAAGAAGCAAGTGAAGAAAGGACGGAGGAAGTCCACAAAGCCAAAGAAGGTTGATGTGACTGACCTGACAAGTGATGAGGAGAACTACAATGCCCCAGTTGGTCTAGCCCCCAGGAGGAGTTTGCGCAGCGCCCAGAGGACAGAGCGGCAGGTGTACAGGGATGATGATCCTGACCTCAGTGGCGGCAGTTCGCCTGGAGAGAACTGACCACAGGAAGTGGTCAACTCGGGGCAGAGCGGCTGGTTTCCAGGGTGACGATCCTGACCTCAGTGGCAGCAGTTCGCCTGGAGAGAACTGACCACAGGAAGTGGACAACTCGGGGCAGAGCGGCTGGTTTCCAGGGTGACGACCCTGACCTCAGTGGCGGCAGTTCGCCTGGAGAGAACTGACCACAGGAAGTGGACAACTCGGGGCAGAGCGGCTGGTTTCCAGGGTGACGACCCTGACCTCAGTGACAGAAGTTCGCCTGGAGAGAACTGACCACAGGAAGTGGACATCTTGGGCAGAACGGCTGGTTTACAGGGTAATTAATTTGCTGGGAAGGTCAAGGAGGAAAATAATATTTGTATTACAGGCACCCTAATCCAAAATTTCAGTTGCAACCTTGAAATGTTTAGCAAATTTGTTTCTCAATGCTACCAGCTCATATCTAAGTGGGGCATGTTAATGAAAACATGAGTGTTCTTACTTTCTACATATTCTTTTGCCTTGTGAAGATTCAGTCCAATTAGAGATATGTCCAGAATTGTTATAGAGCTGTGTTTGTTTCTAGGGCCTTCGAAGTGGCTCTTCATGTTCATGAATATACAGTCATGACGTCTTCACAATTAAGCATGAAAGTTAGGCGTCCTTCACAATAACGTAGTGTTGTAGCAAGGAAGCAAGGAGGTCCCTAGATTCGAGTACTAAAGCAGCACACCACAAGGACCCCTGCACCCCTCACAATTTGGAGTCATTGGAAAGCATCTCATTCTCATTAATATCAGATCTTTTACTCTGATAAGTAACTCTCTCTATGAAGATCTGAGGACAACTCCACAGGTCTCGTCAGCTCAACTTTTCGATCAGCTTCGAGACCTCTAAGTTCTCAGTACGAGTCGGCGAAGCATTTAGACCAGCATATCAGATTTCTGTATCTCGAAAACAAACTTTAACCACCGATCCCAAATGTACATAATGAAAGCTGCACATTATGTTGCTGTTAAAATATTTTCTACGCTCTGTCGTTCCTGAGCTCCATGGGGCAGACGGGTAGCCTAGTGGTTAAAGAGTTCGCTCGTCACACCGAAGACCCGGGTTTGATTACCCACATGGGTACAATGTGTGAAGCCCATTTCTGCTATTGCTTGAATAGTGCTAAAAGGGGCCTAGGACAATGCTCACTTGCTCCTGAGTTCCATGGCATCTTGACCCAAAAGGGAGTACCGTGAAAGGTAGGGTTGTGTCCGGAAGAGTTTCCTTGTTAAAATTGAAATTTCTGAATCAACCTGGTAGAGAAGGCTCAAATCTGATTGGCCCAGGAACCTATGTATCCTTTATTTAGATAGGGCAGTCAGAGGTAGCATTCCATGGAGATGTTGTCAGAGCGATATTGTATCAGAGTAATTGATCTGAATTTTAGTCAGATTTAATGACACGGCCATAGTCGGCTGCATCTCTGATTTGTCCAGTATCACAGACAAATCTATAACATTAAGAATCATTTTCCTTTGAGGATTATTTCTGTGTGTTGAGGGGTGGAATACATGCTATACATAATAGGGATATTCATCAGATGCTCAAATAGTTACCATTGAATATGTGAAGGACTGTTTGCTAGTGTTGATGCGCACGCTGTTGATTGTTGATTCAAGACCCTTGTTTTGTTTTCAGTTCTTGTTTTATCGTGATGAGGACATGTTCGTTGTTGTGTGGTCCTTTGCAATTTCTTGTGACATTCCATGAAAGACATTCATGCTGTGTTTGTCTATATCTTGTTTGAGCTAAGCGGAACCAGAGATGTGAGTCTTCACGTCTCATGGCCTTTTGCCATAATGCTCCATGTTGTTTAGTGGTGACGCTGAATGAGTTCCAATGATTCAAAGTCATTTTGTTTTCTATCTCTCAGCTCATCTGAACTGAAAGTTCATGTGAATTTATACCATTGTAGATTTTACATTGTCTGTTTGAAAGGATGATCCCACTTCTAATGTCTCTTAATAGTTTTTCACAGAATTTTGATTTCATTTTTAACATGGCCGTAATGGCAGCCATATTGAAAAAGTCATATTTGCAAATTACTCGGCCATCCCTGCATTTATCATTATGGTAGTTAGTTTGCAGTATCTTCTATGCCTGGGGCGGTGGGTTAGCCTAGTGGTTAAAGCATTCGCATGTGGTGCCAAAGGCCCGGGTTTGATTCCCCACATGGGTACGATGTGAGAAGCCCATTTCTAGTGTTCCTCACACTGATAAAGCTGGAATATTGCTAAAAGCAGAGCTAGACCCAACATACTCACTTTTCTATGCCTAATAAATTGTTACATTGTTGTGTACTGGGAAACAAGAACTTCAACCTTTGACCTTATTTTGGCCCATTTCTCCCCCACTTATTCATGTATCAATGTGAAGTTAATGTACATGCATTTACCATTGGAGGCAGCTAACGGGATCAGGTAGTCAGACTCAGTGACTTGGTTTATGCATGCCATTGTATCCCTAATACGTGGATTGATACTCCTGATGTCAATCACTTGATTCTGATGCTCATGATGTCAATCACTTGATTCTGATGCTCATGATATCAATCACTTGATTCTGATGCTCATGATGTCAATCACTTGATTCTGATGCTCATGATATCAATCACTTGATTCTGATGCTCATGATATCAATCACTTGATTCTGATGCTCATGATATCAATCACTTGATTCTGATGCTCATGATATCAATCCCTCGATTGTGTCTGATGCAGACTAGACCGCCTCCATGGTCTTGTGGTAGAGCGTCGCCCGGGAGAGCGGAAGGTCCAGGGTTCGATCCCGGGCCACGTCATACAAAAAGACGTTAAAAGATTGTACTTGTTGTTACCCTGTCTGGCGCTCGGCATTAAGGGGCTAAAACAAGGACTGGTCGGCTCGGAGTCAGTATACTGTGTCTGAGTGGGGTATTCATGTTAAACTGCGGCATGGTATCTCAGTGAGCTAGCACTATAAATCGGCATCAGTCCGGACTAGTACAAGCAGCCACACACACACATACACGTGCATGCACGTCGCTATATAAGTGCGATAATCTTGGACGCGACGTTAAACCCAATTTCACCTCACCTCACCTGATCCAGACTTGATTATTTTCAGACCACTTACATTTAACTGGACTATTGCTGAGTGCAGCGTTAAACAAGTAAACAAACAAAAACATGAATTTTGGATATATCTTTTGTTTTGAAACTTCTGTGAATTTGTTTGTACCCCTGTAGGACTTTTGTGTTCTTAATTCATATTCCTGGAAAATTCACATAAGGTACAGATCCTTATGACTCTATTCTTAGCTCACCTGGCCTGCTTGTCTAACATCTTTCATACATTGTTGTTGTCCCTCTTCTTCAAAACCACTGCACTGGTGAAGTTGATAATCTGACATGGATGTTCCCATCAATAATGATCCAACTAATTTTCCCAGTTTGAATCTGCCGTAGCAGCCTATTGAAAAACTGTTGATGCATGATGCAGCCATATTTTTTTAACATTTGAATCACTACACGACTTCACGCATGACTATTTATTACAACAACTGAACAATATGAACAAATATAATCTATGACACACAGCTACACTAGCAGTCAGCCACCAGCAGCACATGACAGTCCCACCAATATTCTGATTGGCTAAACTATGATGATGATGAGTCATGTGACCCCGAGATCGAGCCAAGCCAAAACAGACTTATTCATAGGCTCCTCATAATGGAAATTTGGTGTTCAGGTAGATGGTATTGAAAATTGTTGTATTTTATATTGTGATCAAGATTTGAACTTTGCACTTTGTCTATGCTCTAAATTGTCTCAAAAACAAAATAAACTCAACCAATGACTGAAACTTCACATGCTTGTTTTCACCAATGATCACGCCCCAATTTGTCCAAGAGATTTCGGATCTGATTGAAAAAACAACTTATGGCCATAACTCAGTCCAGAGACTATAACCTAAATTTCTTTATTATCTCTGCTCAGTCAGATGTTTTGTTTGTTGTTTAACGCCGCACTCAGCAATATTGCAGCTGTATGACGGCGGTCTGTAAATAATCGAGCCTTGACCAGAATACCCAGTGATTGACATCATGAGCATCGATCCACAGAATTGGGATACGATGACATGCATCAATGATGTCAGTGACCACCCGATCCTGTTCGTCGCCTCTTACGATAAGCATAGTCACCTTTTAGGGCAAGCATGGGTTTTCTACCCCAGATTTTCACAGGTCCAGTGAGATGTAATGCAGTTTGGTATATATTTGAAGTTAGTAGTATACCTTTGTGTTTTGGCAATGCTCTTAAATTCTGTTAAAATGCATATTTGTCTCGGTGAATATTTGCAAATCTTAATAAACAGCAACTTTTGACACAAAGCTGCTGGCTACATACGCAGGTGAGCTACAGTGCTGTGGCATTATTTTGTATATTTCACACACCCAACATTGGTCCTTTGAAATAAATGTTGACAAGAGTTATTTTGATTTTGCTCACTGACTCAGTAAGTTAGTTTCAATATTTTGGAAAGATTAAAACAGCCAGCAAGAGGGTTAATAGAAAGAGATAGACAACAATTCATATGGTCAGTTATGTTGCATCAGGAATTCTATGTGCTGAGGAATGTTTGATAATTGTTTTTTTTGTTTTTTTATCAAATACTTATTTATGTTAGTTCTTAATGAAGAGAAAGGTTTTCTTTGTTATAACACTGCTTGAATGTCAACACTACCATCAGTAACACAAGGTTGGCATCACTTTCATTCACATATTCACAAGCAGGATAGCATTACTCATTTTTGTGATATTAATGTATAACTAACACATTTTAGAATCAGTGCAGTGTTATATTTGACATTATGTTTTGCATGTTGAAGACTTGATCACTTGTAAATTGTATAATTTGTTTTGATAATGTCCACAAAATCATGCATAATTTTCATTGGTTTAGCATTTAGATTTTGATTTTGTGTTTGTATCATTTTTTGTTCACATTCTTTCTTGACTTCAGTTGTTTTGTTTTTATAAAAGTTTAATGAAAGTATATGTTGTATTTGTATCTGTTATTCATGTAGTTTCTGTCTGCCCAGATACATTTCTGTGAAGGAGGCAGAACAATGATAACATCAGAAGATTGCAGTCAATACTGGAATGGTTAACTCGATGTTGTAGGAGGGAATAACTGTAATACTGTTCAAAGGGGTGTTAAAACCAACTCACTCACTGCAGCAGGGAATAACTGGATTACTGTTCAAAGGGGTGTTAAAACCAACTCACTCACTGCAGCAGGGAATAACTGGAATACTGTTCAAAGGGGTGTTAAAACCAACTCACTCACTATAGCAGGGAATAACTGGAATACTGTTCAAAGGGGTGTTAAAACCAACTCACTCACTGTAGCAGGGAATAACTGGAATACTGTTCAAAGGGGTGTTAAAACCAACTCACTCACTATAGCAGGGAATAACTGGAATATTGTTCAAATGGGTGTTAAAACCAACTCACTCACTATAGCAGGGAATAACTGGAATATTGTTCAAATGGGTGTTAAAACCAACTCACTCACTGCAGCAGGGAATAACTGGATTACTGTTCAAAGGGGTGTTAAAACCAACTCACTCACTGCAGCAGGGAATAACTGGAATACTGTTCAAAGGGGTGGTAAAACCAACTTACTGTAGCAGGGAATAACTGGAATACTGTTCAAAGGGGTGTTAAAACCAACTCGCTCACTGTAGCAGAGAATAACTGGATTACTGTTCCAAGGGGTGGTAAAACCAACTCACTTTAGCAGGGAATAACTGGAATACTGTTCAAAGGGGTGGTAAAACCAACTCACTCACCGTAGCAGGGAATAACTGGAATACTGTTCAAAGGGGTGTTAAAACCAACTCACTCACTGTAGCAGGCAATACCTGCAATACTGCTCAAAGGGGTGTTAAAACCAACTCACTCACCTTCGCAGGGAATAACTGCAATACTGTTCAAAGGGGTGTTAAAACCAACTCACTTACTGTAGCAGGGAATGACTGGAATACTGCACAATTATATAATGAAGACTCACCAAGAGAGTAAAGCATATCATCAATAAAATATTAAATAAAAAGGGCCCGAAGATGGAACCCTGTGTTACACACTTAATAATGTTAAGCAAGAGAATTTATGGTGGTCTGACAACCAAACATTGTCTAAAAGCTGCCAATGAGGGACTAAAGATTGTTCTAACATGGTCTGAGGGCTGAGTATTTAATTTTTTAAATAAAGTTCGTTTCAATTTAGAGATAAACGGAAGTATGCTGACAGGTCTGTAATTTTACGAATTCATTTGTTCCTTCTATTTGAGAACTGGGATGACCTGAACTTGGTTAAGTCTATTTGGGAAAGAGGAAGAAAGGATTGAATGGTTAATTAAGTTACAGAAGGGAAGTGGTTTAATATTTTTATTTGAAAAGAAATCTGGATCGGTAAACAAGCAAAACGTGCTTATGTAAATACCTATTCAGGAAATAACATAACAACAGCTGGTTATATATATACGGAACCGCAAAAGAAATGTCACCAGGGATAGATATATGAGAAACCTTATTTGTCCAAACACTGTAAACATACTTTGAGACATATTAATAGATGAAACTTGGCAAAACTGATCATCAAGGTTGAAATTAAAGTGTCAAATGTTCTTAAAGTGAAACACAACACCTGTGCCTGAGCAAATGGCATCACAAGTTAGTATCTCGTGTGTCCGCCATGTGCATTGATGACTGCCGTGCAACGTCGATACATGGAATGGATGAGGCGGTTGATGAAGGTCATAGGCACTTGAGCCCAAACTCTGAGGGACGCCTGACGCAGTTCAGCTGCTGTTGTCGGCCTTGGTCGGACGTAGTTCAGCCGGTGCTCGGTGCTCAATGGGATTTAAATCGGGACTGAGGGCAGGCCACTGCATGGTTCTGATGCCATTCTGCTGGAGGAAGTCTTGTTTCTCTCGCAGTGTGGGCACGGGCGTTATTATGCTGAAACTCGTGGTTGCGGCGACGTGCCAAATGAGGTATGGTGTGTGGTCTCAAGACTTGATCAATGTACCGAGCTGCTGTGGCTCCATTGCCTCTCCCTGGACCGATGTTCTGGAAGACCACAGGGCCGACCCTCTGTGCAAGACCAATTCCACCCGACAACATGATGCTCGGACCACCCCACGAGTCTCTCTCAACAACACAAGCATCCGAATAACGTTCCCCTCGGCGTCGCCGGACTCTCTTTCTGCCATCTGCTGTTGAGATACAGTAACGGCTCTTGTCTGAGAAGAGGACTCTTCTCCACTGCTGGTGGCGCCAATGCTGGTGTTGCGTTGCCCATTGAAGACGGTCCCGGCGATGACGTGGTGTCAGAATGTGTCGCTGGTGTGTCCCCATGGTCTGTCGAGCAGTTTTCGCAGCAGTAACAAAGCGATCTTGAAGATGCTGTCACACAATCTGACGATCCTGACGTCGGATGGTGACCCCTTGGTCATCTGTAGTGTTTGTGGTCTTGT